CCGGGTTTGGGTGCAGGATCCTGTAGGATCTTGCAGGATCCTTCGCATTGACCCGGGTTTGGGTGCAGGGTCTTGCAGGATCTTGCAGGATTTTGCTAGGCCCGACTGACCTGGGTTTGGATTGACCCGGGTAAGAAGATCCCCGACCGAGCGTCTCCCAGTCGCCGACGGTTGGTTTGGGGGACCCAGATCTCGCAGGTGAGTTGGCGATCCCGATCCCCGAGCTCCGGCGGAGAAGCCTGGCCGCTCGGGGAAACAGGGGGCGCTCGGGGACACACCCGTGGGGGGGGCTGTTCGGACGTATCCGTATCGAGCATGGGCCTCCCCCGCCCCTCGTGCGTCCCACTCGAAAGCCCCACCACGTCGGGGGGGAGGGGTCGGGCCGAACGAAAGGGGGGGAGAGGGAAAGGGGGGGTTACGAAATCTGCTGCCTGCAGCCGGTTTCGGCCCCGCCGCCGGGCCCATTCCTCGATACATCCCGGCACAGGGAGGCGCCGGGAAAACCAGCTGCGTGAGCTGATTCTGAACCCCCCCCTTTGCTATCCCTCCCTCTCGCCCGGCCCGGAGGGGGTTCGCCCTGCCCCTCACTGCTTCCCTCGGGGTCTCCTGGTGGTCTCTTCTCCGTCCTCCCGTCGTCGTCGTCGTCGTGGCAGTCGTGGCAGTTGTCGCAGCTGTCGCCGTCGCCCTGTCGCAGAGTTGCGCCGCCGCTGTTGTCGCCGCCGCTGCCGTCCCGTCGTCCGCGGGAAGTCCTGCGCGCCTCATCGGAGGTCGCTCCTATAGCCCTCCAGACCTATAGACCTATCGGGGCTGCCTAAAATCTCGACAGGGATTAAGATATCGAGGTCCTGGTGCTATTTTTGAGCCCTCCTGGAAGGTCAAGGTTGCTACCCCCCCCTCTCGCCCGGCCCGAAGGGGGGTCGCCCGTCGTCCGCGGGAAAAGGCCTGCGCGCCCCCTCCGAGAGGTCGCGATGGCGGCGCCGCCGGCCCGCAAGTCGGTCTTCCAGTGCGCCTTCCCGCCCGGGGTGCGCATCCAGGACTACGTCGCGCGAGTGCCCTCCACCCTCCTCCTCCTCCTCCTCCTCCTCCTCTCCTCCCCTCCTCCTCCTCCTCCTCTCCTCCTCCTCCTCCTCCATCTCCTCCTCCTCCTCCTCCTCCTCCTCCTCCTCCTCCTCCTCCTCCCCCTCCTCCTTCTCCTCCTCCTCCTCCTCTCCTTCTCCTCCTCCTCCTCCTCCTCCTCCTCCTCCTCCTCCTCCACCTCCTCCTCCTCCTCCTCCTCCTCCCTCCTCCTCCTCCTCCTCCTCCCTCCTCTCCTCCTCCTCCTCCTCCTCCCGCATCCTCCTCTCCTCCTCCCTCCTCCTCCTCCTCCTCCTCCTCCTTCTCTCCTCCTCTTCCTCCCTCCTCCCTCCCTCCCTCCCTCCCTCCCTCCCTCCCTCCCTCCTCCTCCCTCCCTCCTCCCTCCTCCCTCCCTTCTCACTCCTCTCCTCCTCCTCCCTCCTGCCTCCCTCCTCCTCCTCCTCACATCCTCCTCCTCCTCCTCCTCCTCCTCCTCCTCCTCCCTCCTCCTCCTCCTCCTCCTCCTCCTCCTCCTCCTCCTCCTCCTCCTCCTCCTTCTCCTTCTCCTCCCAGGACTACATCGCGCGGGTGCTTCGCTACGCCCGCTGCCACGAGGGCCCGCCTTCGCCCTGGCATAGGGGAACAAGAAGTGACATGAACATAAAAACTCGGAGGTCCGCGCGGATTTCTCGGATCGGCGCTGGCCTCCCGCCGCCCCTGGCGCGCTCCGCGCGCCAGGGAGGGGGTCCAGCGCCGATCCGAGAAATCCGCGCGGACCTCCGAGTTGTTATGTTTATGTCACTTTTTGTTCCCCTATTGCAGCTTCGGGGGACCTCGTCGTCGTCGTCCTCCTCCTTCTCCTTGCCTTCGTCTGTCCCCGCAATGGGCTTCTGCTCCTGTGCCGGGCGCGGGCTCGGCGCGGATCTGGCGTGGATTTGGCACAGATTCGGCGTGGCGTCGACGCGGATTCGACGAGTCCGAGATGGAATCAACACGGATTCGACAAGGATAGGGGCGCGACGGGACAGATGAGGTCCCCCGAAGATGCAACATATGCTTCTCTCCACGTCGGGGCGTTTCCCTTTGTCCGGGCCTCCCAGATGGGGTCCGAGTAGATGGGGTCGGAGCACCGCTCAGAGGAAAAAAGGTACCGATACCGCCAGCTTCTAGTTGTCGCCTTCTTCGGCCTTCCTCAGAGGCCCTCGTCGCCACGGCTGAATTCGCCCCTGGTCAGAACGCACCTCGGGAAAGGTCCGAGGAGTAGCGGTATGGGTACCTTCTGGTCTCCTCAATCGCGCCGCATCGCCGATGCATTGGCGAAGCGGCTCGCCCGAGTTTCGCCACGCCGACGGCGTTGCCGATGCATCGTCGACGTCGCCGGCGCATCGGCGATGCACTGGCGATGCAGCGCCACCCTCCGAGCCCATCTACTGGGATCCCATTTTGGAGGCCACTACTTTGGGCCCATGCAAGAGTATCTACTTGTGTGGCATTTGGTCCCCCTCACTCCATTCCCAGTGCCGCCTCTTCAAGGTCCCGACTTGCGTGAAGTCCAGATTTCCTTTCGGGCCCCGCCGCGCCCCACCACACCCCTTACCTGCAAGTAAGCGTTCCTCGGCTAGAGAACGGCCCTCATCCACCGACCAGTACAATCGGAACGGGTACGGAACGAGTGGTGACGCCTCGCCTGGAGCGTTCCGGGTTTGCCCAGGTCGTCCCGAACGGCCGACGGAGGCTTGAGTTATGATCCGAAAGTGACCAGTGGATTTTTGCGCGAGGTTGTGCAAGTGACTGTGCAAGGGTTGTGTTAGTTGTTCAGTCGGTGCTTATCCAGCTGCCTGCAGCAAGTCCCGCCACAGTGCTAGCTAGGCATTCTCGGTGGCGACTGCTCGAGGGGGCACGGGAGGCCTTCACGTGAGACACCTCGTGCCGCCAGGTTTTGGAGAGCCGTGGTCAGGATGATGAAGATTGTGAAGGTGTGATGGGGGTGACGAGGAGGAGGAGGAGGAGCAGGAGGAGGAGGAGGAGGACGAGGTAGGCCGTCACGTGTCACACTTGTCGGCTTCAAGGAGGAGCTCTGATGAACTTGTTTGGGCCGTCTCAGGGCTGTGTTGGCCTCCTATGAGGCAGTCTTGGGGGTACCTCGGGGCCCTCTTGGGCCGTCTTGGGGCCCTCTTACGCAGTCTTGGGGCTCTCTTGGGCCCTCTTGGGGCCCTCTTGGCCGCACGGTGGCTGTCCGGAGGCCGTCGTGGGGCTGTCTTGAGGCCGTCTTGTGCCATCAAAAGGCCTAAGGCCGCCTTGGGTCTCACGGGAGGCCCTCTTTGGCCGTCTTGAGGCCGTCTTGGATGCTATTTCGGCCATCGTGAGGCCATTTTGAGGCCCTTTTGGGGGGCCTCTTAGGCCGTCTTGGGGCCATGGTGGAGGCTTCTTGGGCCGCCTTAAGCTGACAGAAGCCCGGAAAGGCGAGAATGCGACAGTTGTTCAAACGCCATATGGAATCAATGATTTCGGCTCCGTCGGACCCTGTTGGAAGTTCTTTCTGTAGCCTTCCTGGGTCCTCTTGGAGGCATCTTGGGCTGTCTTGAGGCCACAGTCTGCCGCCGTGGGCCAGCTTGGGCCGCCGTCGGGACATCGTGGGCCATCTTGCTGTCCTTGGTTGCCTGCAGGGGCCGTCGTGGAAGCTCGGCTTTCGAATGAGGGACCGTGGTCTCGAGAGGGAGGGCGGGGTGCATGCCGCGGGATGCGGGTGGAGTGGGGGCGACCTTTCGTTGTCAGGATACAGAAGCCTACCAGACAACATCCAATGTTCGACCACACCTCAACGACACACCGTGTGCCTCCCCCCCCGCCCGCCCACTGCACGTTCGGCACGTGCAGTATAACACAGCAGTCACAACACACAACACGCACAACACAGCACAGCAGCCCGACAGACCAGCTCGGCAGACCAAAGAAACACGGCAGACACTTCAGCAGCACGGCAGACCAGCACGGCAGGCCAGCACGGCAGACCACAGCAGCAGGGTAGATCAGCACTTCAGACCAAACCAGCAACACGACAAAGCAGCATTACTGCAGACCAACACTACGAGAATCCTCAGGAACCCGATTTACAAAGTCTACCCGATCTTGTGTGATCAGGTTTCCGAACAAGATAGTTTCGCGACTGACGTCCTCAAAGCATTGGCTTCGGAGGGGGGTCCGAATTAACATCGTCTTGGAATCGCTCTTGGAGGGCCTCAACGTGGCCCGACGGAGTACCCAAGGGCCCCCCAGAACACCGAAAGAGGGTTCCAAACGGCTCGCAAGAGCGCCCCACACAAGCGCCTCCGGCGTGGACCGCTTTGACCACCCACTCGAATAGCATCTAATGGTGTGCGGTGTTCTTCATGCTCCTCCTCTTCCTCTTCCTGGCCAGTGCTGCTGTGCGCGGAGCGCGGCAGCCATCCACATATTCGAGTTTGCGGAGGACGCCTCTCCTCAGAATCCGATCAGTTGTGCAGTCATGTGTTTTTGGGCGGTTTATGTTCAGTCAGCATTGCTTCGTTGAGACAGGGTTCCATGAGGTCCGTTCCGTTCCCTTTCCTCACTCCTCCTCCTTCGCTTCCTCCTGCTCGTGCTCCTCATTCTCTTCGTAGCCAGTGCTTGCCTTCCTCCTCGTAGTCCTCCTGCTCCGCCTCGCTGCCCTCCTCGCCCTCCCTGCTGTCCTCGTCATCCTCCCAACGAGCCCAACGGACGAAAGCGGCGCTCCCCGCGATCGTAACATGCAGCAAGTCCAACGCTCTGCCAGAGGATCCCCGGGGGGGGGGAATGTCTTCAGGTCGGTGAGCCCAGACATCGGTGAGGCCGCGGGCCCCTCGGCCACGCTGCCAGAGCCGATGCCGCATCCCGAGCTGTTTTTCGGATGGTCCCGAGGCCCGAAACCCGCCCCCCGGGGGCCGAAATCCGCGGCACCGTAGCCGCTCGGATTCGACTACGCGCAAGAGTGGCCTGTCGCAGGAGTGGCCTCTGGTGCCGGCCCCACGGGGTCCCCCGCTCGCCGAGCGCGAAGCGGCAGCAGCGGCTTGCGCGCCCGGGTGTGGCCCCCCCGCGGCCCCCAAGAAGCCGCGCACCAAAGGTCACTCTTGCCAAGGGTCCCTCTTGCGTGCCGACTGTTCATGTTTCTGGTGCGCCATGCGATTTGGGATATGGGTAAACCCCCGGCGTGAAGAAGGGTGCGCTGTCGTGAGCCTGGTGTACCTCGACCGCCTCCTTAAGCGGCACCCCTGGATCACCGTCGGTCCGCTGACCTGCCACCGTCTGGTGCTGGTCAGCGTTGTGCTCGCCATCAAGTTCTGGGACGACACCTACTACAGCAACTCCTTCTACAGCAAGGTTACGAGAACCAAGGAACTGCGTGCACTTACACCGTCCTGTGTCGACGATGCCCCATCCCCCCCCCGCTGAGACGGCGCTGCAGCGCCAGCCCAAGAAGTCCGCGCGGACATCTGAACGCTGGTGTTTTAGCAATTGTTGCAGCCCCAAGGTTGGCGGAGTCCAGCTGAAGGACCTGAACAATTTGGAGAAGACCTACTTGCAGCTCCTCGATTACAGGCTCTGCATTCACGCTCCTGCTGTTTCCACCCTCCCGCCTGCCGCCTCGTCCCTCCCTTCCGCCTTCCCCCCCCCCCCCGCTTCCAAATTCTACGCGTCTTCTTGCCCTCGTCTCCTGCAGGCTTTGTGTTGATCCGCGGGAGTACGAAGAGTATCGCGGGATCATCATGAAGGCAGCGCAGCTGCCCGCACCGGGCGGGAAGTCCATTGCCCCAGGCGCAGCGTGAGCGGGGGCGTTGAGGTGCGAAGAAGTAGAGGGGAGAAGTTCGGTAGCAAATCATAGGAGGCTTGTATACCCTCGTAATTCCCTCTTTCGAGCTCACTCACGTCGATGCAGGGTCGACTAGCATCGATTAGCGCCGACTTGCAAGAGCCAACAAGATTGTATGGGAGGCTCTCACGAGTTGCCACCAAACATGGGGCGCCCGGGGCCCTATCCGATTCAATTCCGGTATTCGGACGATCGAATGCAGATCGATCTTTGCACGGCGTTGTTGTGCATCTTGGCGTGGCCAGTTCGATTTTCGATTCCGACTCCGTGCCGACGAGGCCCTAGTCGATGCATGATGCACGTCCTCATGAGGTCCGACTTTTCGATTCGATGTTGACAGCTCCTGGTAGGGGGAGATCAGTCCAGTGGATCTAGGGGTGGGGACTCCTGGTCCTCCTCGAACCTCGAAGTTCGAGGATTTGTTGTGCTTCATCTAGTGACCTTCGCCACCGTGCCTGGGTCGTTGACAAGAGGTCTTTCCTACTGTAGATGCCTTTTGGGGTCTCTTAGGATGCCTCTCAGGTGAATCTTGAAACGCTGTTGGGGGCATATTTGAGATCTCCCTGAGCCTCGTGGGGGATCCATTGGGGCGCTTGGGTCATCTTGGAGACCTCTGAGCCGTCTCGGGGGCCTTTTGAGGGGAAAGAACTCGTTATGCTGGTTCGAGTTTCCCTTATTGGGTCTATCTTTGGGCCGTCGTTGGGGCATCGTTGGCCCTCTTGGGGGCATTTTGGGGCCGTCTTGGGACGATCGTTGGGGCCGTCTTGGGCGCTCTCATGAACAAACAGCCAATCTTTCCACAACTGCGGGGAATTTGAGACTGGCCCCCATGGCCTCCAAAGCGGCCCAAGATGCGCCCAAGAGCGTCGGACGGGCCCAAGATCATCTTAGGCCATGTTGGACGCGTCGAATCCCGACCACGTTCCCCAGGCCTCTGAACAAGCCACGCAATCTGCCCCAAGAGCGCCCGGAACTCTGGGACCTGGGCTCCTCAATCATCTCGACAGTTTGGAGTATACATAGAGGACCAGCCCTCGGGTGATGAGGAGGTGCGGGGGGGACCAACGTCTCACTCGATCGTTCTCACTATCGATCTTACCATCGATCCAACTATGGGTCTCAATATCAGTGTCACCATCGATGCCACCATCTTGGTATCGATCTCATAATCGATCTCACCATCGATCTCACCATCGATCTCACTATCGATCCCACTATCGATCTCAATATCGGTCTCACTATCGATCTTACCATCGACCTCACTATCGACCTCACTACGGGACACCAAAGGGACACCGACGGGACGCCGACGGGAAACCGACGGGACACCGACGGGACACGGATGGGACACCGACGGGACATTGACGGGACACCGACGGGACACCGATGTGTCAGCGACGTGACAGCGACGGGACACCAACGGGATACCAACGGGACACCGACGGTACACCACGGCGGGACAACCCGGCCACCACCCGCCCACCGGGGGAGGTTCGGACAAATGTCTTGCCCCGTCGTAGCAACAGCGGAGTCATTTCTCTCGCCCGCCCACACACCTTCGCCTCACGCGCACGCACGACACAAACCCGAAACCGAAACCGAAATCGATTTCCTGATGGGGGGCGCTCCGTTCCACTTCGATCTCACCCCCCAACCTTTGGCAGACATGACACGGTGCCGAATTCTAGACGCTTCGCGTATCCCCACCAGCCCGTCCAGAAACGACGCCCAGGCGAGTAGAGGGTCGTCCTGAGGGGCTTTTCGGCGTCTTGGGTGCCTCGGGGGGGCCTCTGTGGGCCGTTCGGGATCCTCTTTGGGGCCTCCTGGGGGCCTCTTGGGGCCTCTTGGGGCCATCTTGGGGCCTCTGGGAGCACTTGGGTGCCTCTGGGGGGTCTCTTGGGGCCTCTTGGGGGTCTCTTGGGGGCCTCCTGGGGGCCTCTTGGGGGGCCTCTTGGGGTCATCTTGGGGCCATCCTGCGGCCTCTTGGGGCATCCTGGGGGCCTCTTGCGGCCATCGTGGAGGAAATCGATCAAAGAAGAGGGGGTTCCTTAATTAGAGCCCCCCCCCAGGAGCCACGATCCTCGTGAGGGGTGTCGAATTTAGCCTTCCCAGGGGTCGATCTTGGGCGCTCCAGCGCGCCGCGGAACCCCCTGTCCAGGTCAGTGGGGAGGGGGTAGGGGGAGGGGTAAACCCCTCCCCGAAGGGGAAGAAGGAGGGGTGGAAGAGGAAACGCTCTAAACCACCGACGCCCAGAGGGCTGGTGGGATTACATGCTTGGGCTTCTGTCGGAACTTCGAGAGGCTTTCTAGCAACCTTCGGAGACGTCTGGAGAAACTGACATGAGGAGGAAGAGAAGGAGCCGCTGGATGGGGGGGAAACGGAGGCGGTAGTGGAGGATTAGCGCTGGACAGTGGCATGCCTTCGAAGAGGCAGGTCCAAGAAAAGGGAACACGCAGTAGAAGTGAAGGAGGAGGGCCAGGAGGGTGTGTGTGATGCTTGCGTTTCTGCCTAGAGTTGGATCGTATCTGCCAGCCCCTCGGATGGGAGATCCACCGGGGGGACCGCGGTAGAGGCGCTAGATGCTCATGCCCCAGTGTACGACCGTCCGTACGCTCGAGATGTGTACGGAAGTAATTGATACGAAGACCGACAGCAGTTTTCGTTCATCGTGGTCAACCTCGCCGCGGATGTTTTTCATTTGAGACAGAAGGCCGCCTGCCCAACAGCGATCGCTGTCAGTTGTGGACAACATATGTAATTGGGCATAGCACTTGTTTCTTCCGTACCCACTTCGGGCGTCCAAAATGTTTGAGTCCACGGCATACTTCAATTAGGACCCACGGCTTGCTGCACGCATTTGTTTCTGCCAGGTCGTGCAGCGGCGTTGTTGCCCCAAGCGTGGCTCTACGAGCGCGACGCAGAGCAACAGTTGGTGCAGGCTCCTTTCTTTTTACGCAAGCGCGTGTGAAAATGTCAGCTAGATGCAGTTCCCCCCTGGCAGTGCGTAATATCTGCCAAAGGAAACATTTCTGCGGCAGCCTTGCTCAGTGGCAGCCTTGCTTCTCTGGCAGCCTTCCTCGGCCCGGTGAGTCTCGAAACGTAGGTCCCGTACCTCGGGGTGTACGAGGATGGGGAAAGTCACGTGCCAAGGTGGTGGCTGCTTACACGCCGGTCGTTGGAAGCAGATAGTGTTGGATTCGCAGGCCCCAGTCTAACTTAGCCGCCGTCCTACTTCAATTATCGAGTGGTTTCCCCTCTTCCTTCCTCTTCGGGGGGCTGGTGGGATCCCAACCTACTCTCAACGCCCTCCTGCTTCATGTCTCCACCTGCTTCCTCCGACCGGCAGGTGTGCCTGCACCCTTGCGCCCTGCCAGCCAGCCGACCCACTGCGGCAGATGATGTGCTCTTTTCCTAGGGGGGCAAAAAGTGGTATAAACATAAAAACTCGGAGGCCCGCGCGGATTTCTCGGATCGGCGCTGGGGCCCCCCGGCGACGCCTCCGGCGCCGCCCCTGGCGCGCCAGGGAGGGGGGTCCAGCGCCGATCCGAGAAATCCGCGCGGACCTCCGAGGTTTTATGTTTATGCCACTTTTTGTTTCCCTATTTCCAGCGCACAGGGACGGGGGGGGCCCTGGTCGATGGAGTGGACCATACGTGCAGGCCGTGGACCTGCTCTCCGCTCGAGCCAGCATCGAGGATCCTCGTGACGTGTGTGGGCCCAGCGCGCTCTTCCCCCGCCCGGCTCCCTCGGCAGCACGCAGCCTGCACCGGCCCTCGCCGCGCAGCGTGCGCCGTGGTGCAGGGCCCCGGCGGACGAGCCCACGCTGGCGCTTGCCACACGTCCTGGGCATCGTCGGCGCAGTCGGCGGCGCGCCGAGGGGGGCCGCGAGAGAGGGCAGGCCGCCTCTCGGAAGCCAGCGGTGCTTCGGAGCAGGCTCGGAAAGCTTCCGAGACGACCGGAGGCCTTCAGACCCTTCCGAGAGAAGGCCCGCCCCCTCGGCCCTCCCCCCCTTCGTCCGCCTCGTCCTCCTCGTCCTCCTCGCCCTCCTCGCCCTCCTCGCCCGCCTCGTCCTCCTCGTTCTCCTCGTTCTCCCTGCCCTCCTCGTCCTCCTCGTCCGCCTCGTCCGCCTCGTCCTGCTCGTCCTCCTCGTTGTGCTCGTCCCTCCGGGCGCGCCGCCGAATCGACGGAGGCACGCCCAGCGCCTGCCGGCAGGGCGGAGCGAGCGAATCTCCCCTGTCGTGGGACCCGTGCCTTCCGCGAGAGACGCGCCGCCGCGCGGCCCGCCGCCCCCCCCCAGCGTGGCCTCGGCCGGCCGCGGAGATCGGTCCGCGGCGCAGCGCGGGGGTCGCAGCCCGAGCCGCACGGCGGCGCCGGCTGCGACCGCCGGCGGCGGCGCTCGCGTCCGGGACGGGGAGCGCCGCGGCGGCCCCCGCGCTGCTAAAACGACGCGAAGCTCGGGACAAAGTCGGATCGGGATAGCTCGAAATCTCTGAGAATCGGCGGGCTTGGAGGATGTATTGGGCGCCGCGGCCGCTCCAGAGCGCTCCGGAACGCTCTGGGAGCGCTCCGGAACGCTCTGGAGCGATTTATCCCGATCCTAGCCCTGTTTTGGCTGCAGCGGCCCAGGGCTCGGAGGCGGCAGCGCGCGGGAAGGGCGAGCCTGTCGGGGCCGCGCGCGGGCGGCTCTGCAGCGCCGGCGCGCTGCCGAGGACGGGCGGTGTCGCGCTGCGGCTGCGCGGGGCTTCTCGAGACGGAGGCGCCGCCATGGAGCCCACTGCAGTCGAGGCGCTGCGATAAGGACCGCTCTGGGCTCAGAAGGGGCTTTGCTTTTCGGGCCGTTCTTGACATCTGGGTCGGGGAACCTGCTCGTGGCCGAGGATCGCCGTGGCTTGGGCAGCCCCTTCGTTCCTCATTTGGCGTTCCTTCTGGTTGCACGAGGCTTTCGTTTGGGGCGTGGGGGAGCAGCAGATGAACGCAGCGTTCCTGATTTGCATCGCTCGCGACACCGCCTCCGCAGAGAAGTAGATGTCGTAGGTGTTGTTGTTGCTGGTTCGGCGTTCGGCGGTCCGTGCTCTTTAGGGCTAGACGGTCTGATGGTGCAACATCTAGCGGAGCTGCTGTCCGATCCGCCACTCAGA